TAGTTCATTTGCGAGCGGTGGTGGCCTTGCCGCTAGCCGCCAGCTTTGGGTTCTGCGCCTGCTATAGCACCGACTTTGAGACAAAATTTTATGGACAATTGGATTTTCTTAAACCAAGAAAAGTAAAAGAAAAAATTATAAAACATTCAGTAGTATACTGCACAAAACTTAGTTTCGCTTTGTTGGTTTTTACATAGAGATGTATGTAGTAATAATTTTCAAGTACATCATTTAACATATAATTTTATGTACTAATATTATTTACAATTACGCATTTGTAAAAAAAGCGTCTATGTATATTTTGACAGTCTTAATCAAATTCTAATTTTTATACCCGAGCGCACTTGTGCACAAGGGTATATTAATTTTGTTCACATAACGGTTGTTTGTAACAGCCAAAACGAATCGAGATAGATATAGACAAATGTATACATAAATGATCAGGATGAAAAAAGAAATCGATTAAGCCATGTCTGTCTGTCCGTCCGTCTGTCCGTCTGTCCGTGTACACGATAACTCGAGCAAAAATTGAGATATCTCAACGAAATTTGGTATGTAGGTTTCTCTTAATCCAAGGTAGGTTGGTATTGAAAATGGGCGAAATCGGACTTTAACCACGCCTACTTCCCATATAACGGTAATTTCCAGAAATACGAAAACTGCGATATTTTAGTAACTACTGAAGATAATTCACTCAAAATTGATATTTACAATAATTTTTAGACGAAAAATAAGAATATTATAAATTTTTGGAAAATGGGCGTAGCCACGCCCACTTATAGTTACATTTGTATATCTTGGTAACCGCTGCACCAATTCCTTCCAAACTGGGCACAGTTGTTGGCCTTGGTACCGCCGAAACTTTTTAAGATCGGACAATAACCACGCCCGCATCCCATATAACGCTAATTTAGAGAAATACAAAATCTTCGATAAATCATTAAATATTGAAGCTAATTTATTCAAAATTGATGCTTGCAACAATTCTTTACCAAGAAATACGTTTATGGTAAAATTTTGGAAAATGGGCGTGGCACCGCCCACTTATGATCACATGTAAGTATATCGGTAACCGTTCTACCAATTTGTACCAAACTCGGTATGGTTATTGTACTTGCCACGGTAAGCAAAACGTTGAAAATTATTGAAATCGGACTAAAATAACGGCCGATTCTCATATAACGGTAAATTTAAGAAATGCTTGAAACTTCAATATTTCGAAATTGAAGGACGCTAATTTACTCAAAATTGATACACCTCGGCTTACCATCTAGCGGAAGGTTTCGGAAGGGTGAAAAAACATATATTTAATACTTGCGCCGGGTATTTAATGTTCGGCTCCGCCCGAACTTAGACTTTCTTACTTGTTGTTTTTAAAGTCTAACCTTATTTATATGTAGAATGTCAAATATACGGTTACCCGTACTTTTTTATTTTGAAATCGTGCCGCCATGGCACGCCAGTAAAAACAAATATACTTTTTTTTGTCGAATAAAAATAATAACATAATAAAAAATTTTACTAACCACTTTTTTATAGTAGATAATCTCATCTCTTATGCACAAAAAATACTTAGTTTTGTGTCCCCATAACGCACGTTTTGAAAGAATAAATACTTAAATGTTTGACTTAAATTTACATCATAATTTTGTTCTTGGAAGATTTCTGAAGTGAATTTTTTTTTTCGATCAGAGAATATTTATTTTTTAAAGATTTTACCGCAATTCTCAAAAAAAAAATATTATCTACATGCAAAATATAAAGCAAACTAGTACAAACTCATATCGAATTAAAAAAAATATGCGTCTCCTTGTTTTCGATATTCTTTAGTTCTAGGCGGTGGCAGCACGAAAATTCAAAAAGGTTGACTTTCCTGTGTTTTTTTGACCCAGCCTAATGTACATTGTAGTTAAAACTATGGGAAGGTATATGGATTTTGGCATTTTTTTGTTCATTCACTTAGTCGGAATGCAATTGTTATGTTACTTTCTCTACAATTTTCATAAGTAAGTTGTGTTTTTTGTATTGTTTTTTATTTAATTTATTTGGTCTAACAAAGTTTTTTCATTATGTACCTGTATACATACATTGTGGATCCATTGCGAACTAAGAAGTTTTATGTTTTAATTAAATTAAATACGTTTCATGTGTTGCTTTTGTGTTGAAATTTGTAGCTTTGTCAATTATTTATTTAAATCTTAGGAACGAGCATCTATGAGTATGACCCAAAGTGAGATAAAAATGTGTAATCTAAACTTTTACGAATACTTTTAAAAATGCCGGTCAAGCTGATCTATTAAATGGTTAAATACTTTATGATAAAATTGCTCCCTAAATTTTACTTTGGGTCTCTGAAGACTAAGTAGAATTAGGTTTGAAGGTGATTTGGTCACTATCTTTTCATTCAAAAATATGTAGTTGAGCGCATGGTTAAAAAATTTTGGATAAATCCTATCTGGCTGGACACAAGACTTATTTTAAGATTATGTTTTTTCTTAAATTTGCTTTTACTTTTTAGAACTTTTTGCTCTAAATAGAAAAAATATATATTGTTTTTATTTATTTGAAATTTGAAAAAAACCTATTTGTTATACATATATTTTTGTAGACAAATATATTTTTTTAATTTCATCTAATTTTTAGTGACTTATATTTTTAACCGACTTCCAAAAAAAAGGAGGAGGTTATAAATTCGATAGAATATTTTTTTATTTTTCATGTATGTTACCGCATAATTTTGGATTACTACCGTGGCATCTCATATTAATTTGGTTTACACCCGGTCATTGCACTATGAAGAAATTAACGATACTCCTAAATTTTTATATGAAAATTGAAGCCGGTTGTTTTTGGCTGAAAAATTACTTATATATTATATATTAATTACCTTACTTTGAAGTGAAATTGTGAAAAAACTAATGCAGCTAGAAAGCTGGGGCCCGTTTACTATAAGAGTCGATGAAAAAGTGAAAACCGATTTTTTCTGACCGTAAGTCCCTTTTAACTTTACGTGTCACATATTATATTTTTGTACTTTTTTTTTAATTTTAATTTAGTTTACTTCTAATTTTTAGGATATATTATTTTAAAGAGGAAACCATTTGTTTTTAATTTCATAAAATTTTTTTGGATTTTATTTAATTTTTATAATTATTATTGTTTTCCTTTTTACTTAAATTTTCTGTACTTTTTAGATTTTATTGTTTTAAAAGAAAACATAGTATTTAATATCATTTAATGTTTAGAAACTTAATTTATTGTTTT